CAGTGACTTCCATCAGACGCTGACGAAAAAAGCCATCCTTTAATGTCGGCATGATATGGGGCTAGTCGCCGTATTATGGTGCTCAGTGGCATCAGAGGGAAACGCGACGGGAAAAGAACGAATGTTAAGGCGATGAAAGTCCGATTAGGGTGGGTGAGAGTGGTGGTGGGTCCAAAAACAAGGACATCCAGGAGACCGGATTGTAAAGCCAAACTCTGTTCTATTTTCCTACATCCAACCACGTGCGTTTGTATTTGAAGGGGAAAAAAAACGTCAATTTGTGGTGTTGTGCTGTCGCAGTGCGTTTATTTTGAAAGAGACTGTCAATTTCCTGTGAAACCTGGAGTGTATTTTGAAAGAAGACAATGCATTCAATAGGCATAACATGACAAGGCGTCCCAGAACATCAACAACCAACGCACCCAGGGTACCTTTCATGTCATATCTGGACGTGGAATATCCATGACCACATGTTGAAATGTGATGAAGTCAGAGTGAGAATGCGTAGTGGTACCAGTTAGTTGTGCTATATGCTATGAAAGTGCAACATGAGCACAACTTTTTCATTATTAAGCTCATGGTGCACTTGTTATAACAAATGAATAAACATTTTTAAAAGCATTCATGATTTTTGTAAATTTAAAATGGAATTTTGGCGAGGAGCGCAGTATAACTTGTTTAGGACTCAAAACTCAATGTTAAGGACTTGGGTCCCACGTCTGACTTAGACTGACCAATTACTTGTGTCCACAGCTGGGTAAGAAAATACTTGGTTTGATTCTGCCCTTGAACTTAGATTTACCCTTTACAGTAAAACAGTAAATCCACCAAGGAGTGTGTTTGTGTTTACTGTACACACAGATACTTACACATTTGTGGTGTGTGATTTTTTAGAGAGTGCTTTTTATCTCATTTAAAAAATATATATTTATTTCTATTCTGTCTACATGTTTCTTCAGCCAGCAACATACAGAGCAATAACATCCTTACGTCATGATGAATTTAGCCATTTCTGGTCATAAAGCCTTGGCTCCACATGCTTGACGACCCCCATAAAAGTTCCCATCTTCCAGAGACTGACAGTAAATTCCACCTGACTAACAGCTCCCAAGTCAAAGTGTCATCATATCCGACTCCAGCTGCAGGCATTTGCATGTCGAACGTGTGTGCTACAGTAGTTCATCTTGTGTTGATAGGTTTCCCCGGTTGATCGACTGGTCATCTGGGTAGATTACATGTCTGATCTCCTTGTTGATAGATTATTGTGGCCATGCAGTCTGAGTATGGTTATCTCTGGCTCTGGTTCTTACTGGTGTCCCATTGCTCTAACAGACGACAGATTTGGTGTGGTGTTTATAGATTTACCCTTGCATCGGCAGGGTATGCAGATGGGGAGGATTGACCTGCTGCGACCTTGGAAGAGTGCCCTGGCGGAGGACGACGGCGACCTCGGGATGGGCAGGACGTGCTGCAATGCAGCAGAGCAGATCAGTGGCGCTGCATGCTCTCACCCACACACACACACACACACACGCACTCACACACAAACACATAAACTGCAGCTCACCAACACACTTTTCACACATCCAAACACACGTATTGTACATAAATACCGTTTAACATCAAAACCTGCACAGATGCACACAAATCAATACAAACACACACACACACTCTCTTTGTCTTCCTGGATAAGCAAGTGAGGGTGTGTCTTAATCAACCTGCCGCTGTCTGGCTGGCTGAAACCCACACACCACCCACATGACTCTGCATATTGAGCAGCACGTAAGCACGAACATGCTCACACACATTTACCTCCACGCTCCTTCACACACAGAGACACACACATGTACAGAGATGTGACGGTAACACATGGAAAATCTATAAACTGTCACAATTAACACTATAGCACATCCTGGTAATAAATCATGTCATCACACCTATTAGATTAAGTAGTCAAAACATACATTTGTATCACACAGCATTTATAACACTATATACACACCATTACAAAGACTAAAAATAATGCACTGGCTTTCCTTTTTCTCTGCATCCAAGCAACGTCCTTCTTATCACACACATGTATACGTTCTCATTTTCTTTTTTTATTCTCTGCTTTACAGATAAGGTGTTCACTCAGTTCCATCAGTCACTAGATTCCCCCAGACGCCCCAGCAGGGCATCCCATAGGAGGACAATATATAGCAGCGGTGCCAACATATCTGATTTAAACACCAGCACAGCACAGACCCTCATTAAAGAGCTTTTCTGGGGCAAATAAATAAACCCTAATCACTCTAAGCAATCAGATCAAACCAGATCAGCCTCAGTTTGTTTTTACTTGTACTGAGTGAACTGGTAATGCCTCAGCCCAGTGGACGGCCTAATACAAATTGGTATTTTCGATGACCTTGTGCTGACTTTCATTAATTTCCTGGGGGCATACCCAAACCAAATCAAACCATAACAACAAAATACTTTAATGCTAATGCTAAAGGAGAAATCTGTTGATGTTGTCAACAAATCCTATAAAAACTCCAATACATCAATCCTCCTAACAATTACCGCCTGTGTAGCCTGATATATCTTATTCCTCTGTGCCGCACAGCCCCATTGTTGTCCTAAAGCTATTAAAAACACATCAGTGAGCCACACTGTAGCACTGGGTAACATGTCCCTGCATTATAATAAACATGGTGACTGTAGTTTTATTTGAGTTGAGCCTGCATACGCTCCCCCGCTGCTGTAATTTGTCACAGTACCAAATGTGTATTTATCCGCAGCTAAAATGGTTCCCAACAAATGCACTATTTACTCCTTGTGGAGGTGGGTGTGATTAGTAGCCAGATGCAGGGGAGAGGTGTGTGTGTGTGTGTGTGTGGG